CTCACTGACCCAGACAGAGCTTTGGCCCGGAGCTTTTCCAAGGCCTACCCAGGACCATTTATGGACCCTCAGGACACCCTAAGAAGCAGATATCTCCCCTTTCAGAGTTGGGGCCGTCCACAGAGAAGGGTCCCGTAGTACTTCACAGATTCAAACTTAAATACTGTGAGAATAACACAGGGTGCTCCCCAGCACCCCTAACCCACACCCCCTCATGAACACTGGCCACGTGTATTTTTTTTTAGACACGGTCTCACTCTGTTGCCCAGGCTGGAGTGCAGTGGCACGATCTCGGCTCACTGCAGCCTCAACCTCCCTGGGCTCAGGTGATTCTCCCACCTCAGCCTACCAAGCAGCTGGGATTACAGGTGCCTGCCACCATGCCCAGCTCATTTTTGTGTTTTTAGTAGAGACGGAGTTACACCATGCTGGCCAGGCTGGTCTCAGACTCTTGGGCTCAAGCCACCCACCTGCCTTGGCCTCCCAAAGTGCTGGGATTACAAGCGTGAGCCACTGCGCCTGGCCAGGACATTCTTTATATTTTTCTGCACCGTTCGAGTCAGCTGCCCATTTTGCCCCCAGGATTTGCAGCATGCATTTCCTCAGAACAAGACCACCAGAGCAGTGCTCGAACCCAGGGCCAGTGCACGGATGCCCGCCCAAGCCACCTGCCCTATTTTAGTGTGTCCCATGAGTGATGGGCCAGTCTCCAAAGCCTCTGGTGCTTGAGGGATGGAGCCGGTTACTCAGGAGTATCCCTAGTTGGGTGTGCTTATGACCGTCACAAGAAGACTCACTCGTGCTTGTGGCAGCAGCAGCAGGGGACCACCTATGGAAGCATGCGGTGCCCATCTGTTTATCCCAGGTGATGCCAACATGACCACCTGGTCAGGGTGCTGTCTGTGGGGTTTTCCACGGCAAAGCCATGTTCCCTTGTAATTAGCAACTTGTCCATGGAGCCAGGACCGTGTTGACGCTCTGTCCCTCACCGCCGTTAGCCACGGACACCGGTTCCTCTAAGGTGCTGGGCTCTGTTCATTCATGGGATGTGAGTGAGGCCTCCCCTTGGCCCCAGGCCAGTGCTGGGGGTCCCTGAGTAGCCGAAACTTTTGTAGCTACTCCCTAGGCACAGAGCTTCAGGGGCCAAAGTTTGTCTGCCCCAGTGGGCAATTGCCCACCCCTTAGCAGGGCTTCGAGGACATCCCAGCAGCCGCTGGGCACCCCAGGGGCAGGGTGGACACCTAGACTGTTCCCTTTGCCCCCCAAGCCCCTCTGCCTAATGGCCTGGCCCATCCCTGCTAAGGCCAGAGCGTATGGCGTGTGGCAGGACGGGCTGTCAGGGTCTCTACCAGTCACTACTCAGGCTTCCAACATGGGCTTAGAATTACCCTTGACTGCCCAGCAAATGGGTTCTGAGGGGGCGGGTGGCTGACCCAGAGCTTCTGGGTGGTCTCTTCCCACACTCCACTGTCTTTGGCTGCCCTGCCCCTGGCCCGAGGTCCCTCAGCAGCAGGGATGGTGTCCTGTCCCTGGGGCCCAGGCCTGGTCTGGAACATGGTGGACCCCAGGACACCCTGTGGAAATGCACACAGCTACATGGGAGGCATGGCTCCTTGGTCCACAAGGCCTGGATGCCAGAGGATGGCACCCTCTGTCTGTCCCTCCCTTCACTGGGCCCACTGCCCCAGACCCCTCTGGGTTCCCTGTGAAGCTTTTCTGCTCTGCGGCTACGAGGTCGGAGGGCATAGTAGCTTGCTGAGGATCCCACCCTATGGAAAGGTTCCTGAACTCAAACCACAGATCCCCACCTACAAAGTGCTGATGGTTGTGATGGCTCCGCAGGCTGTGTTGGGCAAGTCCCATAGGAGATGCCTGGCTCTCTCATCAGCCGGGGGACGGCCCCATTCTTGTCCCAGGAGGTGGGAACCAGGCAGCAGTAGCCTGCAGCTGGGTGTGGAGAGTGTTTCTTTTTTTTTTTTTTCCATTTTTAAAAAAAGTTTATTTTTGTGAAAACCATGACAACCTTTTAAACTGGTTTATCTTTGAGCGCCTCCCCGCAGCTTTTTTTTTTTTTTTTTTTTTTGAGATAAAGTCTTGCTCTGTAGCTGTAGCTCAGGCTGGAGTGCAATGGCACGATCTCAGCTCACTGTGACCTGCACCTCCTGGGTTCAAGTGTTCTGCCTCAGCCTCCCAAGTAGCTGGGATCAGAAGCACGTTCCACCATGCCTGGCTAATTTTTGTATTTTCAGTGGAGAGGGGGTTTTACCACGTTGGCCAGGCTGGTCTCAAACTCCTAACCTCTGGTGATCCACCGTGGCTGGCCTCAGCATTTCTGATTGATGTTCTCAGGAAAGGGGGAGACAGCTGCTCACCACCATCCCCAATTCCAGGCAGCCTTAGAAACCAAGGAGGAAATATCACATCTCTGATGCTTCCAATCCCTAGATGGAGGGCCCTGAGGGACTTAACAGCTAGGGCTCCAGTCTGGGTGCAGTTACCGCTGGGCAGGAGAGGCCCTCCCTGACATGCCAGGTTGTGATTCCGGGTCAGTTAATGCCTGGGCAACTTGGCAAGATCCCATCTGTATAAAATATGCAAAAGTTGGCTGGGCGTGGTGGCTCACGCCTGTAATCCCAACACTCTGGGAGGCCGAGGTGGGAGGATCACGAAGTCAAGAGATCAAGACCATCCTGGCCAACATGGTGAAACCGAGTCTCTACTAAAAATATAAAACTTAGCAGGGTGTAGTGGCAGGTGCCTGTAGTCCCAGCTACTCGGGAGGCTGAGGCGGAAGAATCGCTTGAATCTGGAAGGCGGAGGTTGCAGTGAGCTGATTGCGCTACTGTGCTCCAGCCTGATGACACAACACTCCATTAAAAAAAAAAAAAAAAAAAAGCCGGACGCGGTGGCTCATGCCTGTAATCCCAGCACTTTGGGAGGCCGAGGCGGGTGGATCACGAGGTCAAGAGATCGAGACCATCCTGGTCAACATGGTGAAACCCCGTCTCTACTAAAAATACAAAACATTAGCTGGGCACGGTGGCGTGTGCCTGTAGTCCCAGTTACTCGGGAGGCTGAGGCAGGAGAATTGCCTGAACCCAGGAGGCGGAGATTGCGGTGAGCCGAGATCACGCCATTGCACTCCAGCCTAGGTAACAAGAGCGAACTCTGTCTCAAAAAAAAAAAAAAAAAAAAAAAGTTAGCTGAACATGGTGGTCCCTGTAATCCCAGCCAGTCGGGAGGCTGAGGCTGGAGGATCGCTTGAATCTGGAAGGCGCAGGCTGCAGTGAGCCAAGATTGCACCACTGCACTCCAGCCTGACAGAACAACACTCGGTTAAAAAAAAAAAAAAAAAGCTGAACATGGTGATGCCTGTAGTCCCAGCTACTCAGGAGGCTGAGGCTGGACGATCACTTGTGCCCGGGAGGCAGAGGCTGCAGTGAACCAGATTGCACCACTGCACTGCAGCCTGAGCGACAGAGTCCATTTCAAAAGAGAAAAAATCCGGTGTCCCTGTGGTGGCCGCTTAATCAAGGCCATGTCTTCAGCTTTTGGGGGCGGGGCAGGTCACTGGGTGTGGAGCTGCCGGTCCTGGGGTCTCTGTGTGAACAGCACCTGCTCCCGGAGGTGCAGCCGGGTCGGGGCCTGCTCCGCGCCGGTCTGGAGAGGGCCGTGCCGGGTCGGCGCTGCGGGCTGACTGCTTTTACTTCCCGCTGCAACAGCGCCTCTGAGCGCAGAGCACCAATCACAAAGCTCCCCCGTTCCGAGTGCGGGAGTCACGTTTCGTAACTTCGCCGAGCGGCAGGACCATCCCCACGACGGCAGGGCTTCTTCGTCACCGCAGAAAGAGCCATGTGCCCATGCAACGCACGACTCCGCGCCGGGGCAGGCGGGGGCAGCCGCTTCGCTCGCCCACGCACCTGCGGCTCCCGGGCCCGGCCCGGCCGAAGCGCTCCACGGTGCCCCCAGGAAGAGGGCTGTCCGGGACCTGGGTCCCCGCCCGAGAGGCGCCGCTGCCGCGGGGAGCACGTAGGGCCGGGTCCTGCGCTCGCGCCGGCCACTTCCCCGCGCGGAAGGCTCACGATCGCCGACGCCGCGGGATTCCAGAACCTCAGCGCCTTCACAGACGGGATGGTGACCCGACAGTTCGCCCCGCCGCCGCCAGACGGAAGTCCCGCCCCGCCCCGCCCCACCTCACCCCACCCCACCCCGGAGAGGAAATTCTGCCTCGCCCAGCGCCGACTGGCCGCCCCACCTCGGGGAGGATGCGCCCGGGACCTGCCCCGCCGCCCCCTCTGAGGTCTCTGCGGAAGCAGGTGGCGCAGCCTGCGAGGGGCTTTCGTTTCCCGTACTCAACCGCGTCGCCGCTGCCCGGGCGTGCCTACATCCTGCAGCCAGTCCGCGCGGGGAAGGGGCGGATGCAAACAACCTGGACTTCCGAGCCCCTGATTGGCGAGCGTGTAGGAAAGGGGCGGGGTCAGCAGAATCGTGATCGACGTGCAGTCGGTCCAATGGCGCCGGCGAGGGGGCGGGCGAGGACAACGACGCTGCGGGCCGAGGGCGGGGCGGCTGGTGGCCCCGGTGGCTCTGGGCGTTCTGTGGGAGGCAGCCGCAAGGAAGGGAGTGATCCTGGTGAACTTGCAATCGGACCAGTGGTTCTGGGAGAGCAGGAGGCGAGTGGCCAATGGCGACAGTGATGAGGCGGGCGTCCGCTGTCTCCGCGGCGCCGTGTGGGAAACGCGGGGGCGGGGCGGTCGTGACGGACGGGCGGACAGGGCAATGGCTGAGAGAAAGGGGGCGGCGGGCGACCTATGGCGACCGCGGGAAGGCAGGGCGGGGCAGCGAGGGGGCGGGGCGACCAGAGGCCCCGCGGCGCCGTGTGGGACGCGGTGGGGGCGGGGAGGTCGTGACGGACGGGCGAGCGGACCAACGGGCTGGAAAGGGCGGGCGAAGGCGGCCAATGGCGGCGGCCGGGCCGGGGGCGGGGCGGCGCGGTGGCCCTGGCGGTGCGGGAAGCGGCGGGGCGGCGGCGAGGCCGAGGTGAGTCCCGGCGGCGGGCGGGGCGGGGCCGGCGCGGGGCGCGGGGCTCCGGGCGCGCCCACTTGGCCGCCCCAGGGCGGACGCAGCAGGCGCAGGTGCCGGGCGCGGGCTCCCTCTCGCCGCGGCCTCACCCGGCGGTGCCTCGGCAGGCGGCGCGCGGGGCGCGGGCGGCGCGGCCATGGGCTCGCAGGGCAGCCCGGTGAAGAGCTACGACTACCTGCTCAAGTTCCTGCTGGTGGGCGACAGCGACGTGGGCAAGGGCGAGATCCTGGAGAGCCTGCAGGACGGCGCGGCCGAGTCCCCGTACGCCTACAGCAACGGTAAGGCCCGGCCCGCGGCGCGCGCTGTGCGCGGGGTCCCGGCGCGGGGCGCGGGGCGCGGAACTCGGCCTCGGCCTGGCCCTTCCGAGCGCCGTCGAGCGTGCCCGGGACAGGAACGCCTTCGCTTGCGTCCAGATCCAGTAGCTCGGCGGCTGTGGGTTGCCCCCGTCCCAGCCCTCGGGTGACGCCGGGGAGCAGGACAACGGACCAGAGGGGCGCGTCTGGCGGGGACGGTGCCATGGGTCCGGGATCCGGGGAAGGTGCCATGGGCCTTAGGGCTGAGAGCAGGCGCCATGGGTCTGGTGTCCGGGGGCTGGTGCCATGGGCCCGGGGTCCAGGATCCGCGGAAGGTGTCATGGGCCCGGGATCCGGGGAAGGTGCCATGGGCCTTAGGGCTGAGAGCAGGCGCCATGGGTCTGGTGTCCGGGGGATGGTGCCATGGGCCCGGGGTCCAGGATCCGGGGAAGGTGTCATGGGCCCGGGATCCGGGGAAGGTGCCATGGGCCTTAGGGCTGAGAGCAGGCGCCATGGGTCTGGTGTCCGGGGGATGATGCCATGGGCCCGGGGTCCAGGATCCGGGGAAGGTGTCATGGGTCCGGGATCCGGGGTCCAGGGAAAGTGTCATGGGTCCGGGATCCGGGGTCCAGGGAAGGTGTCATGGGCCCGAGATCCGGGGTCCAGGAAAGGTGTTATGGGCCCGGGATCCGGGGTCCAGGGAAGGTGTCATGGGACCGGGATCTGGGGTCTGGGGAAAGTGTCATCGGTCCAGGATCTAGGATCCAGGAGAAAGTGTCATGGGTCTGGCGGAAGGTGTCATGGGTCTAGGGAATGTGCTGTGGGTCTAGGGGAGGGTGTCATGAGTCTGGGGGAAGGTGTCATGGGTCCCGGATCTGGGATCTGGGAAAGGTGTTATGGGTGTGGGGGAAGTTGTCAAGGGTCCTGGAGAAGGTGTTGTGGGCCCGGGATCTGGGGTCCAGGTAAGGTGTCATGGTCCAGGAGAAGGTGGTGTGGGCCTGGAGGAAGGTGTCATGGGCCCAGGAGAAGGTGTCGTGGGCATAAGGGAAGGTGTCATGGGTCTGGGATCATCTGGGAGTCTGAGGGAATGTGTCATAGGTCTGGGGGAGGGTGTCATGGGTCTGGGGAAAGTGTCATGGACCCAGGTCTGGTGGCAGGCGCTGCTGGGCTGCTCTTGGGACCCTGTCTCAAGCATGCACAGATGACAGGTCCTTACAGGCAGACTGTTCCCCTGAGGTGTTTATCTACTGCTGAGGAAGTCAGCGCCTTCTGCTGGAAACAAATACCTTGATATGAGTTACTGAACATTTGTTTTTTAACTTCCAGTTGCATGGCTAAAATACACAAGATAGGTTGCATCCCTGGCGCTTGCCTGCTTGAGTGTGCCTCTTAATTTAAGTATATAATATAACGAGGTGCTTAGCAGGGTCAGTGACACGGCATGGGCCTTGTCCCCCCTCATGGGGGCCCGAATGGGATGTTTCCTTAGAAGGCCTGGTTAGCCCCGATGAACTGAGCAGTCAATATCCAGCCTCCCCAGATCCCTCTGTATTTCGGGAATGCTGGCTTCCCTGTTGGACTTTCCTCTCCTGGTCCCTGCTCTCTCCCTTTGCTTTGTTTCTTGGGCTCTTGTGTGTCCTGCCTGCCTGCCTGCCCTGAGCGTCTGCTGTTTGCTGAGAGTGTGGCACAGAGTCTCTGACCCCTCGCTCACTCAGGCTGGCAGAGCGTTGTCACTTGGACTGACGCTGAGCGTGCCTCCCCTGCTTCAGCAGCACCAGGCTCTCCAGAACTTGTGCTCTTGGCCTCAGCCTAGAGGAGGGGTCGAAAGGGCCAGAGAGGAAGAGCTGTGGGTTCCTTTTCAGGGGCGTGGGGAGTGTAAGGCCCACCGGGGGCATTAGGCCCCTGCCTCAGCCGCAGCTTCCTGGACCTGGCCTTGACAGCACACTGTCCCAGAGTTGGTAACTCCTGACACAGGTGGTGGGCGGCTGAGCTGACTGTGCAGTGGTGGTGTTGCTTTCTAAAACCTCGCTGCAGGGTCACTGCACACTCCCAGGAGGCTGGCAGCGCGTGTGTTTGCGCATGTTCAGAAGAGCACGCGGAGGGTTGGGTTTCATCAGGGTCACGGTGTTTTCCCGGGACATGAATGCTTGCTTCTGAGGGTCGGCTCAGCCGTGGTGGGCCAGCTCTCCTACTCCAACCAGCAGGCCTCGTGTGGCCCCACACAGCTAGGAGCTAGAGAGATGGGACCCTCCCGCCTCCCTGTTCCCTTTGTCGGGCTGTGGGGCATTGCCACACTTCCTCTGACATGCTTGGTGAAGTGGGGCAATATTGTGTAAAATGTGGAGACCTGCCTGCTTGCAGAGTCTCCGGAGGCTCACAGTGGCCTGGACCAGAAGCAGAGAGGAGTGTCCACTCCTAGAAAGACTCCATGTGCTTTCAGGGGCAGGGCACACTTCCAGGTCCCCGCAGGCATCCTCTGGCCTCGAGCAGAGAAGGGAACGCCTCTGGTTGTGGAACATGCTTTCCGTGTCTAGGGCTTCGAAGTTCAGATGGGTGCAGCAGAAGGAGCAGGTCTTTGTGGTCAGGGTGGCAGCTTGCCGACCCCAGGGGCCAGCCCTCTTCATCAGGTTGAAGTTGCTGGATCTGAGGGTGCGTGGGCTTCCTGAGTGTGGCTGCTGGGGGTCTCAGAAGCTCTGGAGCAGCTGGTTCTCAGGACTCAGCATCATGAGAGTGTCTTCTCCTTTGAGGGAGTTGTAGCAGGAGCCTTAGGTCTCTGGCCCTCGTGGGAAGGATGTACACGTTAGTGCGTGTTGCTTGCTCTCCTTCATTGTGAGGCGCCGTCTGTGTGCAGCTTCCTTGTTTCTGCAGGGCTCCCCGGCTGGGCAGCGGATGCCTGTAGCAGGGAGACCCCTTCTGTGCAGGGCTTGCTGCTCCAGCGTGGCCTCCAGCTCCATCGGCTCACTCCAGATCACTTAGCTGCACTTACCTGCCTGTAAGTCTTGTCTAGCATGTTCCTCAGACAGGCGTGTGAGTGTACGTTGCCCTCTCCTGCTTCACAAACAAGTGAGTCATCAAAGTGACCTTTTTATTAGCGCTGCACCTGAGGCAGTGGCATGTGACTGCATGCCCAGCACCTGCAGGAGCCCCTGTGAGCTCTTCCACGTCCCCTCACGTGGATGCGCGCCGGGTTTGTGGATCTCTAGATCTGGAAAGGTCTTCCTTCCTTTGGAACCCAACAGTGATCTTAGGGAGTGCTCCCTGATCTGTTCAGGATAGAACAGAACGCTCTGCATAGAGTGCCCCTGGTGATGGTGGTGAGTTACCTGGAGGAATTACACCGCATCCAGGCTTGTGGGCGGTGCTTGCAGGTGGGGAGGAGAAAGCTTCAGCTTGGGAGTGAACCTGCGGTCAGGCTTCAGGGTGTGGTCCAGGGTGTTAGGTCTGTCTTGGCCACGAGGAAGCACCCGAAGCACCCTTGTGGGGCTGCACACCCCTCCTGCGAGCCCAGGAAGCGTCCTGCCTCAGCCAGGCCCACTCCTGCTCTGCAGGGGGCGTTGAAGGCCCTGGGTCAAGGCAGGTCCACCCTCTGCGCCTTGTGCCCTACAAACCTTCCTGGGAGTGAGTGTGCTTTCCTCCGGTCAGGTGCGTCATCGTTTGTATGCCCGGATCCTGGAAGACTTCAGAAGGGGTTCATGAGTGAATTCTGGCCTGACTTTATTTCTCTTTCTGCTCCTTCGGGGGTCAGTGTTGGTGGAAGCTGCTGAGCAATGCTGTTTGCTGACTGCCCTGGGCGTCTGCTGTTTGCTTGCTGAATTGCCTGCCCTTGGCTGCTGAGAGGGCGGCAGAGCATCTCTCACCCTCACTCAGGGCCTGGCAGAGCATCCTTTGAGCCTGGCAAGTTGTGGGAGAAACAGAGTGGGCAGTTGTAGACAAAACAAGACTAACATCGGTTTGCCGTGGATGTTGGGGCTTGGTGGTCACTGAGGTGTGTGTGGGGCCACACGATGTCTGCTGTGCCCATGGGTGCGAGGTCACCCTGTGCAGGTGTCCCAGCTTCTTCTGCTTTGCAACTGTGCTTTCTCCAAATGGTTACAAATGTTTCTTCTCATCTGCCTTGAAGCTCATGGCTCCTAAATGGCCAATTCCAGAGCAAACTCCTTCTTCAGAGGCTCCTCTGAGTTTCATGTCCTGAGTGAAAACCACGTGTGTCTTCTCAGCTGCTTATCCCCAGTGCTAGCTGAGTTCGGGCTCGCTAGTGGTGTGTCTTTAGGTGACTGGACAGACGTACACGGCTTCCCTGTGCCAGCTGTTGGTGTTGGGCACCACTGCAGCCTGGAAGGCCCTTCTCTTTCCTTGCACTTGACTGAGTTTTGCTTGTTTTCCTTTTGAAACAGAGTCTTACTCTGTTGCCCAGGCTGGAGTGCAATGGCACCATCTTGGCTCAGTGCACCCTCCGCCTTCTGGGTTCGAGTGATTCTCCTGCCTCGGCCTTCTGAGTAGCTGAGATTACACGCATATGCCATCACACCTGGCTAATTTTTGTATTTTTAGTAGAGCTGGTTGGCCAAGCTGGTCTCGAACTCCTGACCTCAAGTGATCCACCTGCCTGAGGGATTTTGCTCGTTTTCTGGGGCAGTGTTTCAGGGTTTGCCTTTCCTCTGGGAGGTGCCAGGTTTTCCAGCAGGGTGTTGTTCCGGCAGAAGCAGGGGTGATCACTATGGCAACAGCTATTGCTGCCAGCGTATAATGAGTGCTGCCTGTCAGCACTGCTGGGCGCCTCCCGCCGCCCCCGTTACCTCCGCCACCACCTGTGAGAAGGCAGCACCACCTCAGTTGTGCAGACAAGGGACTGAGTCTCAGGAGGCAACAGCTCTTGGGGGTAGGCTTGGGCTGCAGGTGGAGCTGCCCTGCAGGCCTCCTGTGAAGCAGCGGGCTTCATGGCTCCTCCCTGTCCTCCTCACCAACACTTGGGCCTGGGGCAGCTG